GGGAAAAGAGAAGGGAAAGGAGGAGAAATTTTGTATGTATGTATATACAGGATAGTTAACATAGTTGTTCTACTGTGTTCTATTTCTTTGCTGAAAGAAACTGTCAATAAGTCCTTGATTGATCAGTATTGCATGTCTCTATCTGTTTTTATGAGAAACCACTTTGAAGATATCAATATGTAATACAACAAGCACTGTTAATTTCCTACCACTGTGTTTGTAACTCTGTATTGTTTGTACTGTTCTTTTGCTATTTTGTAAAAGGATATCTGTCTGTTAATGTTTTCCTTTTACTTTTAAAATAAAAAAATATATATACCTTTAAAAAATGTTTTTTGAAATACCATGAAATACCCTGCAACTATAGAACTAAAATCAACCAAAGGAAGGAGGAGAAGAATTTATAAGCACAACTAGGTATCTGAGCACGAGCTATACTAAAAACATACAATTCACAGCAATAACATAATATCCTACCTTTATTGGTGAAATATGAGAATGTGAAACAAATCCATGGACATTCTCAATCTCTGACAGGTTCTTCTCTGAGACATGAACCAATTCTGGGCCTATCACCTCATTAGTGATTTGTGGGGAAATGTGCTCTTGAGGAGGTATATCTTCATCCTGGTATCGGTATTTCTGTAAAGAAAATCACTAAATATGAGGAAGGCCTAAAAAGCAAAATAAATGGTTTGCACAACTAGTCAAACAGTATAAACAATATGAAAAGTGTATTTTATGATTCACTAGATCAATCTGAGAAAAACAGGATTCCACGTTAAAATCATGCCAATAATTTAATAAAAATCATTTGAGTAGAAAAAAAACCCTCAAAAGTAGACGAAATAGAAGCCTGAATGTTCATCTATCCATCTACCCAAAGTTAACCAAACCATGCATGTATCTCTAAAATATGGCTCTTTAAATGAAATCAGCATAAAAAATCAAATTTACTTAGCTAAATTAGTCTGGTTTTCTTCTATTAACTTGTACAAACACTGAGGGAGGGGAGCCATTCCAATCTCTAAATGAATCAGTTCAGTAGAAAATAGCATTTTAACCTACAAAATAATCTCTCTGACACATATACACTTCTATGCAATTTATTTTTAAAAGATTAATAGAATTTTAAAGTAAAAAACCTCACATTATACATATAAATTATGATTACAGGAAAGAGAAAATACTGCACATATTTCTCAACAAAGGTTGGGATGATCTATGCATAAACACAAAATCCAAACAGATAAAACACAATATTCTCCCCCTTTCCATCACCCCCAAGTAATCTCATCCATAAGCAAAGGCACAAACAGAAAAAGTTTTTTTTTTTTTTTTTTTTTTTTTTTTTTTTTTGGTTTTTCTTCGGTACTGGGAATCGAACTCACGACCTTGCGCTTGCCAGGCAGGTGCTTTTGCCACTGAGCTAAATCCCCAGCCCCTCAGAAAAAGTTTTAAAGGAATAAACAAAGGATTATTAGCTATTATAGCTGTTCTTAGAAGAACAGTCAACAAACATATAGGGATTATTTTAAAAAGTCATATGTGTCAGTAAGTAAACTTAGAGGGAACAAATGTGCAACTTGATTAATCAGCAAAAAAAATTACACTACCGTATTAGCAATCAGAGATATAGGCATAAATCATCGCATTTGTTTTTATTTTTTATTTTCTTTGGTATTTTTGAGACAAGATCTCGCTATGCAGTTCAGGCTGGCCTTGAGCTCACTTTGTAGCCCAGGCTGGCCTCGAACTCGCAACCATCCTGCTGCTTCAGCCTCCTGAGTGCTGGGATTACAGGCATGTGCCACCATGCCCGGCAAATCATCACATTTGTGATAGAGGTCTCTTAGGAAATTTGGAAGTGTTTTTAAAAAGCCCTGAAAATGGTTTTACTTCTTGATCCAGTAAAATTCTACTTCTAGGAATTGATCTTAGAGACAACATCAGTGAAAAACATAAATATTGGTTCTGTATAGAAAAAAGCATGTATTTCTAAAGTATACACATACAAAAATTTCGACTGCTAAAAGTTACAATACATTTTCCTGTACTTTCTAAACAACATCATTCTGTGAAATGGTACAAAAGCATAGAAAACCACAACCTGGTTTACACTGGCTACCCTATTTAAGATGATATAAAAAATTTGTTTTTACGTGTAACTCTCAGTAACTTGGAAACTAACAAAGAGAACTCTCTGATCCCATGAGGAAGGCTGAAATTAACATAAACACACTTAATAAAACCAAACACCATTACATCAATTAATTGTATGACTTTAAGTACTCTCATAGCTTACTAGTAGATATGATATAAAAAAGGAAATTTCAGTATCACTTTAAAACTTTACAGGCACTCCACAACTTTGTACTTTTGGGAAAGATACATGAATAAGGACACTTGCTATGGTATAATCTGGAAAAAAGAAAACTGGAGCAAACTGCATCTATCATAGGAAACATTATACAGAAGTTGGGTAGAAATCTATAAATGGTAAAGACACATTATTAAATGAAAAAGCATATTTGAATGTTACACACATTATATATAAAACTATGTATTTACATAAATATATACACAGTTTGAACATTTTTAAACAAAACAAGTTTTAAGTATCTTTAAATCTGTAAGTTTTTTGGGGGGGTACCGGGATTTGAACTCAGGACCTTGTGCTTACCAGGTAGGCACTTGTGCCACTAAGCTATATCCCTGGTCCATCAATCTGTAAGTTTTCCTTTGATCTCTATTTTCATTTCTTATAATTAATGAAAAACACAAGATATTGGACCTGTAAAGTTCTCAGTAAAACCTGAGGTTCTCAGTAAAATCACTACCTACTTACAGGATTATTCAATGTGGTCTTTTGGCTCCTAGTTTCTGCAAATTGGCAGGTGAGTGTAATAGCTTGATTAATCTCACGTTCAATTCTCTCGCTAGACTACAGGTGGTGCTAGGTTCTTTTATCAGGAAGCACATAATACCTGATTACCTCTTTTTGGGAAATTAGCAGCTCCTGACATTCAATGGTTCAATCAATTCATGCATGGGGGTGTTGCTAAATGGTGACAATCTAACCTTTTTCATTAATTAGGTGGAACAGATTTATAAAGGTATACTTCACCTATCACTTGGTTACCTGCTGGTATGGTTCATACAGCAATAACAAAAAACTTAAATTTGTCCCTTTCTTGACTTGTTTTCAAGACAGATAAAAAATTGGCTCCTTATTATACTCCTAAGGTGACCCTGTGGGTATGTATGTATGTATGTATGTATGTGTGTGTGTATATAATTTTTTTCAATGAAATCTCTATCACAATTCCACCTGGATCTCCTCCACCCAAAATTAATAAACTGATCTTAATATTCATATGGAATTGCAAGGAACACAGAAGAGTCAAGATCAATCTTGAAAAAGAAGAGTAAACTTCTAAACTTGCTACAAAGCTACATTAATCAAGACTGTAGTAATGGCAACATAAGGACAGGTTTATAGATCAGAGGCATAGAACTAACAGTCCAGGAAATAGATCCTTGTATTTATGATTTATTGCTTTTTGACACATGTGCCCATATAATTTCACTAAGGGAAAGAATGACCTTTTTAGCAAATGATATTGGGACAACTTAATGCAAAAAAAAAAAATAATAATAATAAGAAGAAATCAGATCCCCTTCTTTACATCATTTACAAAAACTAATATAAAATGGATCCAGAACAAAATGTAAGAGCTGAAGCTACAAAACTCTTAGAATAAAGCTAAGTAAATCTTTGTGACTCTGCATTAGGCAGTGTCTCAGATGTTACATCTTGAGCATCAGCACTCAAGAAAAACAGATAAATTGGTGTTCATCAAAAGGAAAAAATTTTATTCATCAAAAGGCACTGTCAAGAAAGTGAAGAGACACACATACAATGGGAAAGTGTATTTATAAAAAAAGTATTTGATAAAAGTATAGTATCCAGAATATGTAAGAAACTCTTACACAGTAACAGTAGAAGACAGCTGGGTGTGGTGATGCAAGCCTGTGAAGCAGGAGGACTGCTGTGAGTTCGAGACCAGTATAGGCTACATAGTGAGTTCAAGGCCAGCCTGGTCTCCATAGTGAGACCCTTCTCAAAAACACCAAAACCAAAAAACAAAACAAGACCACCAAACTTTAAAACAACCTAAGGATTTAAACAGACATTTTCCCAAAGATATACAAATGGCCACTAAGTATATGAAAAGATGTTCAGTACCATCAGTCTTGTTTAACAGAAATACAAATTAAAACCACAATGATATATTATTTCATATCAAATATGATGTCTATAATAAAAAAAGACTGACCATGAACATGTGTGAACCCCATGCATAGGTGAAAGGAACATAAAAGTGTTGGGAAAACAATTTGATAGCTCCTCAAAAGGTTACAAGGAACCACCAATTGATGTGGCCATTCCACTTCTAGGTATACACAATAACTAAAAATAAAATATCCATACAAAAATCAGTGCAAAATGTTCACAGCAGCAAAGAAAAAATGTCCATCAATTTGTGCACAATTAAAACATGATATGTCTACACAATTCAGTATGACCCAACCACGAATAAGAATGAACTGTAGTAGAAAAAAATATTCTGTATCATATACTGTTTCAGGCATGTACTCCAATATATTTCAGTATTTTCAAAAAAGAATAAGAGTAGCATAAATCAGTAGTGAGGTTTGTGAATTTTGAAAACAATATCAATCTAGAATCCAATTTCCAAATTTCAACTAAATTTGAAATGTCTGATGTTTACTGTCCATGTTTATACATATGATGAGTAAATAAAACAGATGCTGATATAAGTTTTCTAAACATTTGTTAAACTTCAAAAATAAATACCGGTATAAAGTGAAAGAACATGGACACAGATAGATACAAACACACAAATTAGGAGAAAAAATTAAAATATAAAAAAATTGGAAGTAGAAAAAGTTACAAAATGGGAGGGAAAGGTTGAAACAACTGCATGAAAACTATGATTATGTAACATGAGCACTATTAAAAAATTAGTGATCACAACAAATGTAAATGCATCTACATTTAATTTCTATCAAGTTACTGCAGTTCTCTTCTATTGTTGCTTCTGTTTCTTTGGCTTAATTTATTTTTTTTTACTGTAAGCCTTTTTGTCATCAACATTACTGCAGTTCATTTTCTCCTCTCTGAGAGGTAGTGGGGATCAAGCCCCCACCAAGAAGACTGGACACTAAGACCCTCAACTATTACGCTGAGTAGATTGAAAAGGGATATAAACACCAAAACAACCATCACAGGGAGACATCATCTAACAGATCTCCACAACAGTGACAAAGTTTTTCTACCCTAAGTGATCTTCAACCCTCACCACAAAAGGAATGAGAACATGAGAAAACAAGGCAACAAGATGCCTCCAGAAACTAACTCTCCAAAAGCTGATCTCACGGGAACTGAAGAACCCCAAAACCAGTATGTCTGAGAGATCAAAGAAGAAACATGTAACAAATTCCTAAGAAGTTCAATGAGCTTAAAGAGAATTTAAATAAACATAAACATAAAAGATTTAATAACTCAGTGAGCTTAAAGGAGAAACAATAAGCTGACTGAGTTGAGTAAGACAAGA